GATACGCAAAAAAAATTCGCGTGAAGCTGAAGCGGTATCACATACCCGAGGCTCTCGCTCTCGCAGAAGCAGCTTCCTCCTTGCGAAGGAAATAAAAAAAAAGGATCCGACGATAACGTCGGAACGTGTGCCATCCGACTGTAATGGGTCGCATTACGTGTCCGTCGTTTGTATCTCGGTGTATACGCTAACATGTAGCAATTACAGGTGACTGAGGTCAGTGTTAATATGACGGTCGCGTGAGAGAGAAGCTCCAAAAATGATATGGCTCGCAAGCGACGACGGCGCGTTTTCTTGCGTAAGCCTTCCATATAATACGCACGATACATCCTCCTTCGTAGGCAAAGGTCCCGGCCGTAGGAATACATTAATTTAGTGTACTCATTACGTATTGAAAGACCCGCGGACGCGGCGCGCGGAGTATGTAATACTTCTCCGACGGCGGTTGCGTGTAATGACAGTTCTACATGCGCGGGATGCAAGGTCGCATGACCGTGAGTGTGAGTGTGTGTGTGTGTGTTTTGTACGCGTACGAGTATGATTACTATGGAAGCGAATTTTAGCGAGATGTCAAACTTAACCGTTTTTTTAACATGTCGCGAATAAAGCTATGCAGTTAATGCGATCCTCAAAAATGCGATCGAGATTCGGCAAAAATAAACGCCATTTTAAATAGTTATTTTAATCCTTTAATTATTTCACGTAACATTCTTATGCAAGACAATTGTGTATATTTAAATCTATTTCTAGTGATTTGCTCTTCGAGTAATTTACGTTTAGTAGAATTGGTATCTATGAATACAAAAGTATAGTTTTTCTCGTAAGAAAAACAGGTTACGTTTCTAGAATTAATCGCAGTGAACACAGTCCATCGGTAAGTATTCTTAGTTATTAACTCCGATACATCTTTTTTATCCAAGAAGCCTTGCTCACGAGACCTTGCGCCAATCTTTACCTCCTTATTCGCCGATTCCACGTATATATGATGGGGTTATCGTACGTGTTATCGTACTATAAATTTTTATTTGATTATCTTAATATTGCGCAATTAACGTAATCTACCTGCAAAAGACCTTCGTCCAATATCAGACTCCAACATTCTGTATTTCCTTGATATGTGTGCTCGTTCGTCTGCGGATGAGATTTGACGAGGGGTTGCTGCACGTCGTTCATGTGTATCTTTTTCACTCAAAATATAAATTAGGCACGAGATACGCACAAGGGTACTGACGTTAAATTAATCAAATATTATTAAAGTAACAACTTTTTTCACGATTTTTTTTTTTTTTATAAAACTTCCATCCTGTGACAAGAATTGCACATTTATTCCGTTGGCACGTAAATTTTAATTAATTTTAATCAGGTACGGTTTTTCTTAGTGCATTGTATTGCGTTATTTCAAGATGTTATTCCTGCATTCGGATATTTCAGTCCATTAGCGATTCTGCAATATACGAAATATCATTTTGAAAGGTACAACGAGGAGATTTGTGTATTCAACGTGGGCGGTCTCACGAAGTGACGTGAGAAGGGATTCTTGGCCTCGTTCAAATCGCTTCAAGCCTCGTACAAATGAGCGTGATGCGTTTCATAGAGATAGCCATTGTACTAGGTAGCTTTATCACTCGCACACTTATATCTCACGTAGTTTAATCTCCGTCTCGATAACGTATTACGCATCGTAGAATTTACTGTTCACGTAACACCGATTCAAGATCTTGAGATTAAACGTACGAAACTTTATGCAAATTATCAATCTCGTGATGGTAGAGCCACCGGCTCGTCAAACGTACAAGGCCGGAACGGAGCAGTCGCGGAAGTCCAACGTTCTCATTTTGCAACCAGTTTTTCATTGACAATACAAAGTGTCTTCCCGGTGATGTCTGGGCGGGAAACTTGGTTGGTATCCTTGAAGGCGTGGTCTCCTAGCTCAAGATCTTAACTTCTTTTTCTTCTTCTTCTTCTTCTGCGAGAACCGTTTGAACGTCGCACTATCAGCAGAATCGCGCTCGACTATAAAGAAACCTTCCGGAACTGTTTATCGCGCCCATCTATGGAGCGGATGTTCACCAACGAGATCGCCTTCCCTCAAGTGATCGTTAGAGATGACTTTTCCGTGAGATTAGCGTTCACTTCCAGCCGCGTGTCGTCCGCGAATGTCAGCGCCGACGTCCAGGATCACAAACATCGCGATCGCGTCCACCGCGGTTCATAGTAGTAGGGGCCCGTGCCATCTCTCCCATTGGCGGGTCTTTTCAGACTTGTTCCTCCACGTGCACGCGAAGAAATCACACGTATGCGTTGCGTCACGTTTCGCTGGATGGACTCGCCGTGGACTATCCCGGTAGGTCATTGTCACGATCGTCCTCTCCTACAACGATGTGATTTCTCGACGGGACGCATTGTATGATGTGCCCCGACAACAGCGTCGGAATTCAACTCCAGGGAAACGTCAACTTTCTAGAAGGGTTCCTGGCTATGATTTCGAGTTCACGGCGTGACTTCATCTTGAGTTACGTTTTACGCGTATTTCATTAACTCGCTCATGCATTTTAGGGATCTAACGTGTTCTTTCTTTACATTTAGAATTCGAGTAAATATATTGAAATAATACATATAAATATGTTGATAGAGATACATATAATAATATACTATATTAATATACGTGTAAATGTATTAATATGATAAAATTTATTATAAACGTATATGAATATTTAAATGTATTAAAATAGTTGCATTTTTTTCATAAATATCAAAAGTAATTCAATTTATTGCTTCTCTTGGCAAGCAATGATTTCCTGAGTTCGCGTTTCTCGGTTATTGAAAAGATAAGAAAACGATTATAATACAACGTTATATATACAGCTATAATTGAATTGCTATTCGTATTATTGTCCCGCTACTATCTATGATAAAATTTAATTTATGTTTTATATAAAATATACATCGCGAATAAACAGACGGCTCAAGAAGTATCAAGTTCACACGCGTAGCTTTCTCTAATGGGTATGATCCATTCGAATCTGAAACTTGTTTTGCGCGTGCTATAAAATTCTATAATGCTATAAAGCAATAATGAGGAAAGAGTCTTAAATGCCATGCGATATCCTTTATAAATGAAGTGCTAAAAATAAGAATAGATCTTATTACTTGTTCAGCTTCAGGAGTAAAAAGTAATTTTTTAAAGATTGTTTTAATTTTTTAAGAAACAGGCATTCAAAATATTGCTATTATTAAAAAATAAAAGACTTTATTATAGCAAGTAGAGTCCTTTCTCGAAAATGATTATCGTTGTTAATTATCACTGACTGAAGAATTTTTTAAATTGTAAAGAAATAAATTGTTGTATACTATTGCAGTATATAGCGTTGAGCAAATTGTCACTGGTAATAAATCATAAACGAATTCTTCCGGAAAGATTTCATATAGCGATAAAGTGAGTTACACAAGCACAAAGTAACAAGTAATAATTATAGTCAACGAGCTGGTCTTTTGCGACTGTAAAAATGCGAAAATCTGCGATAACGATTGCCACTAAATATAAGCACAACTTTACTGTCCAAAATGACAGCACGATACTCCTATTAAAACGAGTTGTAACAGTCATTTATGATTATCGTGTTTAGATTGTTGTTTAATGAAACTTGTATAAGAATCGGTACATAGATTCAGGCAATATAATCGCTTAATATAGGTATTTTGATATTTTTAATGAAAATATTTGGTACTCTTAATGAAAATTAAACGCGCAATTTTAAATTGCAAAATGGGATACTATAGTAAATGCGTACTTGAAACGTAATTACAGCAATAAAAACATATTAAAAAAATTTTTAATATAATACCTATTAAAAGTATTATATTCATCAAGAGTATGTATCATCAAGAGTTTTGTGAAAAAAATCTTAAATATGTTTTTCTTGAACTAGACTTTTGCTCCAAATTATTTTTGTTTCCGTTATATCGTTTTAATTATATAATAATTATAATAATTGTAAGAATTAAAGTTTTCAAAATTAAATTTTTTTGTAAAAGACATAGACCGATATTCATAGTCGATATTCATATATCTTATTTCAGACAACTGTCTTAAGACCACTAATGTCTTAAGACCACTAATGCGATCCTCTGATTGATATCTCAAGACAGAACTTAAGATAGTCTTGAATATAAGAAGTGACTATGAATAGTGATCATAGATTACAGAAGTGATCCATTTTCAATTGTCTCATTACATGATAAAAGATATAATTATGATATATATATAATCATAGGGGCCTCTTGAAAGAGGGTGCCGGAATGAAGCCACAGCAGAGTTTTTGCAGTCAACGTTGTAAATAAAGAGTGTCCCGTTTATGGACCGTAAACGCTGCTCTAACCGTGCGGCTTTGCGCGCCGTTCTTATCTTCCCAACGTTTGTTTCCTACTTCGTATATCACTGGCTATACCGTGTGGTATCATCGCGCCATTCCGAACCTCTCATTAATGAGGAATGTCGAAAAATCACAAATTGCCGTGGTCATTCTCGACAACATCCGCAGCTCTTTCAGTGTCTCTCAAAACTGCAATTTAATGAAGCGCATTTAATGAAGAATATCAAGACGGTAGAAAAGTCACTCTAGTTATATCATAACATCAAGGACAATTTTTTATATTGCAATTGTATCAAAGCAACTACTGAGTGCAAAATGATTGAAAATAAAATTAAAACCCTGGCAATTTGTTTACATAAAGATTATTGAGACGTATTAAGCGACATCGGAGATTATTATTAAAGTGACGATAATTCAACATCCATGACACTCGATTAGAACGTCGGATAGCTCAAGATAATTTTTCATTGATTCATTTACACGACATGTATGTTCGATAGGAGAAGCCTCTGTACTTTGTACATAAATCATTATATTGTCGCAATCATAGTGACATTGTATACACAGTAATGAGAGGCACTGGCCTTGGTTCTAACCTACAGGCAATGAAATCAGGGTCGTTCGTACCTGGAAGGAGCGGTGGTGTGGATGATGGGGATGATGAAACTGCGGTGTGTGAATCATGTCGCCGGTCTCGGGATCCTCGCACCTAGAAGATGACTTCACGACCTCGGCGTTACTCGAGGCGGTAATGGCCGCGTCGCCCTCTACACTTGCGGACTCCTCGGCGGTATCTTCTTTCTTCTTCTTCTTTACGTCCGACTTCGTTTCCTAATAATCAATCTTTATATAATGATCACAATATCGTAACTTCACCGAGGAGTGAAACGCGTTAATCATGTAAAATTTAGTATTCCAACACATTCAATATATTTATAAATATCTTTCTATTAACAGAGATTCAAATAACGTCAGGCATATTAATGAAACATTATATTAAATCATTATTATGTAATATAATATTTAAATAGGGTTTGAAACAAGAAAGTCTATTATTGCTGAAATTAACATCAAAATAATTCGTGCTGATTTTCTACAAATTTTTGGCTTGTATAGTAAAAATGTCTCGACTAATTGCATATTAAACAGTATATTACAAAAGATATTTATAAAAATAAAATAAAAGTAAATACAATTTCACGATTTATTTCGCAAAGTGGCTAGCTCGGTATTGAAAGACAAACAAAATATTAACATACTATACATATTTCTCACAAAACGTCAAATTGCAGTTACTTCTAAGTAAAAGATATGAAATCCCACAAACCTCTGGTTGAGCTTCATCGAGGCCAACGAGCTGAAGCGCCTCTTCGAGATTAAATTCGTCGGGCAAGCCTAGAGTATCGTTGCTGAGCAGACCTTCTACGCCAGCGCTTTCCAAGAGACTACCTCCGAGTAATTCTGAAGTAAAATCATGCTCAAGTCCTAGAGTGTCGTTTAGACCGAGAGAATCATCAGTTAAATCAGCCAAAGGATGATTGTCTAAAGCTAACGATGCTTCGTTGAGAAGCGGATCGTCCTCTTCGATGATGCTACTTCCACTTCCGTTTTGATTGCCAGAGCTGAGAATGTATTCGCCTGTAAAAAAAGAATCACATATTCGCTCGAAATGTTTGATTGAAACTTAGCTAAATTGTTTCATTAAAAGAACGATTGATGAAAAAAAAACGTGTTTCCGATATTATATGATTCATCGTGAGAAGTATGCATGCTTCGAAGCGGCACGATGAAACATAAGCGAGCGTAAACAAGTTCGCGTGTAGTCGCAAGGTTCACGCAGAGATCATCCGAGAATACTTAATTAGTTGTCTGATTGCAATGTTATACAGGTTTCTTATCTGTCCTATTATGCAACTTTGTTCTGACATGAAATCGACAACTGTTACTTTGTATACATTCTATAATTTTCATCCAGCAATGTAGTCATTATAGAATACTTTGTAAATTTGTATTCTATTTTTGAATTATTATATTGTTAAAAATTAAATGATGTAAGTCGTTTGCATATTTTTATGTATCACAGATCAAGGATGAAAGAAACAAAAAACGATTAGTTTCTATGATATAATCAGATTTATATCTATGTGATCTCTAAAATTAGAAACTAGTAATTATGATACACACATTAATTACTGATTTTATTTACATATATCAAATTATATTTAGAGAATAATATAAAGGAATAATCGCGATTCTATTTTTTCACTTATTTATAAAACTGTATCGTTCTGTATAATTATATTAAAATCATTATCATTGATATAATAAAATTGTTAGTCTTTGATATCTTCGCTTTTCTTGCATCCACACTATCAATGTAATTAACAGCATTATGATTAATCATTCAGCTTCTTATTACACTTACATGAATTGTGAAAAAAAATATTCACAACATTTCACTGCATCGAATAAACTTATGACTCGACAAAAATGGATTCGAAGCGCGGCGCTCGAAAACTGGCAGATAGCGATCGGCAGGAAAAATTCTTCAGGGGAACGGAGAGTGGAAAAACTTAACTAATTGAGAGACAAAGAGGAATGTTATTGGAGATTCACCTGCTAGTTCTAACAGCCTTCGTATGTTCCCGCCCTACAACCAATCGCGCAACCGCGTCATCCCTTGCGCACGCATGAAAAGATAACATGGACAGAGCTGTTCGAATTGTTCAAAATTTCCAAAATGCATAACGATTAACTAACAATGTACTTCCATATATCTCGAATAGACAGATAACATTTTTATATCCAAACAATAAAAGCTTGGAAAAATTTATCGTCATTTTTTTTAGAAACGCTCTATGTTAGAGAGACTATTACTTTTTTTTTAAATTCTAAAATAATTTTGCACGTTGATTAGATAGATATAAAGGAGAGAAAGTTTTCAATAAAAATGATTTAATTAATCTATTTAATCAGAGATTAAAAATATTTAATATTTTAATATTATTATAATTATTTACTGTTTAATAAAAATAAGATATTATAAGTAAAATTAATTTAATTTGCATAGTAAATATTTAATACGAAATAATTGAATATATATTTATCGTACTTCATATATTTTAATAATAAACGTAATTTAAAAAAGCTATATTTGTGTAAAATATAAAATATGGAATTGATTGATACTTTGTTCATATGTCGAACAATGTTATATTACATTTGACTTTTAACAACTTTGATTCATATTTAGTTCGTATGTATGATTAACATTTGCCAGAATGTTCCACATTTCATTAGAGCATTAAGGAAAAGGGCTTCTAGAATTCTACCTGGACTTTTGACAAAACATCGATAATATCGAGCAGTTGGAACGAGCTATTTCTACGTGTGAAACATTTCTCGAACACAAAAGCGTACTCCTTTCTCTCCTCGTAGTCGAGCGATGTTATTAGAGATAATAATCTCATAAAATAATAATTTCTCTTTCGGGAGCTGCCTGGAACCCGGGCAGGTCCGCCTGACGAAACGACGAACAGGTTGACCGTGAAAGAGGAGGATTTTCGTCCTGCGCGGTTCCTACCGGTGAGTGCCGGTGCCTCCCAGTAAAAGGAGAGATCGCACCTTTTGGATGCCTATTACATTAACGAGTGGTGGCAGCCATTGTCTGGCCCAAATGCGAGGCCGACCGCGCGATAATGGCCGTCTATAATTTGAGGGAAGTCAGAATAGCCCCTTCTCGTTCGACGTAAAGCCTATTTAAAGCCCCGTAGAATTACGAGGTGAAATTACTTTCACATACACATATCGAACTGTGCGCCACGCGTAATTGGTACAAGCATAATTTTTTGTCACTTTTATTATCACGTATTTCTTCTCCTTTTCTATAATACGTATTTACAAAATGTAATTTCTATTACGTCTTTATTCCCGCAATGAAAATTTATCGTATATATATTAGCTTGGAAATATAGAAATACAATTTTTTTTTATTCTTCAATCAAAAAGAAATAGAAATTCTAAGATAAATATGCATAAAAAACGTTATAAATAAATGTTACAATATTTTTGAGTTAACAAATATAAGGGAAAATTTATTTATTCTTTTCTTTAAATAAGAACATTTTTTTAGCAAGGAAATTTCAACAATAAGAACACATTATTTTTCATTTTTTTAGATTTAAGTTATTCTTTGATGACTTTATTGTTTTAGAAAATTAATGAGAACAATTTGTATAAGAACATAAAATTTCTGTTTATCAAATACTGTTAAGAAATACACCGTTTAACAAATTTTTTATATAAAATAATTTAAATACAAAATACGATATATTAGTTTTTCTTTTAAAATTGTATCAAATCATTAAGAGTTCAAAATTTGTTTCCAATCGCACCAAGTTGTTGCGATTACTGACGATTGTCATTTCAAGGAGTTAAATAAGAAAGTTTGCGATGCTCGAAATTTTGCTGTCGGAATAAATTTTCTTTCGACCAAGCTTGTCGTCCGGAATTCGCTCTATCACGCTACATCTAATGGCATAGCCCTTCGGCTTTTTCAATTCCACGGCTTCTTTGAAGCCCGCGTTCGGCTTTTTCCATGGCCACGGGAACGTCGACAGATCATTTCTCATATTTCGCGCGCACGCTTAACGACCATTTTCTTCCGCCCCCCCCCCCTCTTCCTTTTTCTTTCCCTTCAACGGTTGGATAATAATTCTTGCATTACTCGACAGAATTTTCGGTGCCGTCGATCCTATGCCAAGAACCAAGAGAACGCTCTCTTATTCGATCTCTTTCCGATTCGTTCACAGCGTATCCGATGGAACACCGGAAGGGAATCCTCGAAGCCGAATGCGTCGGCACGATTGTCCTACCCCTGGGGGTGACAATACGTATACATGTCGCGTTAATCTCATTCGTACCCTCGACAAAGGGTGACGATCCGGTCTGGTGCCAGTTAACTTCAGAACGGAGCTTGACGTCTCATTTGGAGTCGAAGGAGCGCGCGAATCGTCGCGCGTCACCTGCCGTGAACGATAAATCGTAATTGCGATCATCAATTCTGCCGCTGATCAATGTCGAACTGTCGACCGTTTCATCGTGTCTTGTTTCGTTAAACGAGTGTGCGAACCGGTCGGTCGATTGGATAGACGCGTCCTCGATGTGTCTTGTGCTTATCATATCTCTTTAAAAGCTTCTAGTTGATCTTTTTAGCTAAACATGGAAGTTCATTAAAAATTTAACGCGATTAAACTCTAACGGGAAGATAATTAATAGCTTTAATATTCAACTTTGGAAAACATATGAAGGAAGAAGTTGCTACTACTACGCAGCAATAATATTAACATATAAATTGGTACGTATATATTTCTTACTAAAAATTATTAAATTATTCCGCATAGATTTGAAATATCTTTTCGTACAAATCGAACTAAATTTCCTACAATAGCGTCTAACAAATAACATATTCTTGTTAATTTTTTAAATAAAATGCTATGTTTCAAATAACAGAATATAATCAGCGATGAAGCCGTTATAGAATTTGTACGAAATTTTTTACTGAAAAATTACTTGCACTTGCAAATTTTTTAAATTCCATTTTGATGATCACAGACCAATTGCGTTTAGGATATTTGTTAGTAATGATTCTTCATAATTATCAGAGTATGTATGCAATCTAAAAATATTAATTGTTCAACAAATTGATCGATGTTAAAGTTGAGACGAAGAACATTTTTAAAATATCTGTAGGCAAATTGTCGAGCTTAAGAGGAATCAATTAATAGTACAAGTATAAACTGGATTCTTTTTTAAGCTTATTAATCAAAGCGTCGCATGTTTGTTGTCAAATCGCCATACTTAAGACAAATTATCGTTAAAGCAACTACACGTGCTTGTGTTACGCAATATTCCGAGTCGCTAAACGCTTTTTAACGCCTACCTGTATCTACTAGGTCTTAATCCAGGATGTCAAAGAACCCAGAAAGTAATCCAAAATTCCATTCACAAGAGTGACCACAGTGGCAGTACTTAAGTCACTAAACTATTTCGTATTGATCATAAACAGGTGCTAGGATAAGCCTAAGTTTTCGCACTATACACAACATTTCGGATCTGTAGCGTAAATAACAGTGTCAATCTGCTGAAACAGAGTTGTTTTCCAGGAAAATCGATTTTTCATAGCAGATAACTTCGACGGGAAACAAAATGTTTGCGCGAACTTATCCGCACTTAAAACTCCCAAGATGCAAGCTAATCCTCAGCGCATTCTTTAGCGCCTTTGAACGTTACACATGTTTTATGCAATGTCACCATAAAATGACCTTAAATCATCATCGTTGTCGTCGGCAGCCAAGGAATTCCCATGAGATTTTTGGAAAATTATGAAAGTTCGACGCACAGACCGGACTGGACTGGGGACTGGACTAGACTGAACCAGATTAGATTGCGAACTGAATAGGGGATTTTCTTTATCGCCCCGTGGCGTGGATCGCTTTTGCGTTATACGATTCGATCTTGAGGAAAGTCATAATACCCGGGCACCGTCAACAAACGAGTTCGAAGCGAACGCAGCATGGAGTCGACTGATAGACTATCGCGTAGCCAGGAATTGCCTAACCACGGGCTGGTCGAGTATT